GCACAGAGGGTGGACAAAGGGTACAAGTTGGGCCACTGTGAGAAAGTAATGGGCAGGCAAAAGATGATGGCGGTCTGACTATGGGAATGGGGAGGAGCAGCAAGAGTGAGAAATGGCTAGAAATGACAGCATGTGGTGATAGTTCAGGAGACAGTGGAAACGGGGCAGAAGATGCCTGGGTTCTAGTTTGGGTACAGTCACGGGCCTCATAATGATGTTTCTGTCAACAACAGATCATGTATACTAAGTCTTATAAGATTACAGTGGAGATGCTAGAAATGCAGCCATCACAATGTTACAGTGCAATGTGTCACTCTTGGTCTGCTCCATGCTGGTACACACAAACATCATTGCCAGTCATACAACAGTATAGCACGTGCAGTTACATACAGTACATCATACTTGATAGTGGTCATAAATGACTGTTCCTGGTTTGTGTATTCACTATACTCTTTAATGTCATTTTAGAGTATGTTCTTACTTGCTAAAAAAAAAATAGTAAACTGTGAAAAAGTATGTCATGTTACACTAGCAGCAGCCTGCCATCTCACATTAACTACTTCTCTTGGTTGCTTAATTTTTTCTTGTGGTTGATAGAATCTGGCACTATTTTGTTCATCACAGTTCCAGAAGCAATAGACTGTGCTGTATATATGGTGCATAGGAGGCTTAGGTGTGTAGTAGGCTGTCCTATCTAGGTCTGTGTAAGTACACTGTGTGATGGTCACATGACAATGTATTTACAGACTGTATTTCTCAGAATGGCTCCTGGTTGCTGAGTGATGCATGATTACATGTGGGCAGCTGGTGTTGGAGGAGAGGCAGGATGGGGTGCAGAGGAGATGATGAAATCCATTCTGGACATGCTGGAATTGGAGGTATGGAGATCATCAAGAGAGTGAAGATGCCCCATCCATCCTAGGATCTAGGTGGATCTGGGTGTCAGGATAAATCAATGGGGAGATGAATGTCCTTAATAAATGCAGGAAATTGTGTGCCCATTTAAAGAGATCTTACAGCTAGGAAACCAATGGGCGAAAACAGAAATGTTGCTGGTGCTCAGTCCTTGCACAAACAGTTCAGAGACTACACAGGGCAGCATCTCAGGGTGTGGAGAAATATACATTTCTCAGCTTCCTGAGCACAAACCGGAGCAGAGGATACTGACAACAGCCCAGCAGAGTCTACGTTGACTTAAAATCACAAACTAAAACCTCAAGAGGTGCGGAAAAGATTTGCTCACTAGTTCTTATGTGTTGTAGTCTATGCAGATAATCTGCAACACCCAAACTCCCAGAAAAAAAAGTACACATTTTCTCTTTCCTTAGCTCATTTATATCACCTACTCTTACATTTTTTTTTTTTAGAAATTTCCATGAAATTCATTTTGTCTTGACCTCTGGAATAAAGACACCTGCTTTGGAAGGAAGAAGCAAAAAGGAGTCTTGGGCTCCAGTAAGTTGTCGGCATGGTTATGCAATGAGCACCTTTTATAAACTTGAGAGTCCAAGGGAAGTTGTCATCACAGAGTACTCCTTGTCTGGCTGTATCAGGGCCTCTTTAGGTGACGGTGAGGTGTGACTAAGTGCCACAAGCCATCAGTTATTAAAAACACACCTCTCATGGGGGTTGGAAAGACAGTGGAATGAGATGGACATCATTACCCTAAGTACATGTATGAAGACAGGAATGGTGTGAATATACTTTGTATACAACCAAAGATATGAAACATTGTTCTCTATATGTGTAATATGAATTGCAATGCATTCTGCTGTCATATATAACAAATCAAAATAAAAAAATTAAAAAAAGAAATACCAAGAGCTCACGGATTCTTTAGCAAATTATGCTGCATTTCCTTACCTTCAGATATTCTTTTGCAACTGTAATAATTGTCGCTATCTATGTACTAACTACGTAACTATTTGATTTATTCACAATTGTGTAATAAGTATATCAATTTCAAAGGAAACATTGTAGCACTACAATCAGTGAAAACCCACATCATTTATATTAGAGCTAGAAAATAAATACATATTTTTAAAGTAAAAAAAAAAACCTGAAACCAAAAACTCACACCTCTCCCACACAAAGATGGGCACCTTAAAAACATGCTTGTCATTACTGGTTGCATTTTGATTCCTAGTATTGTGTTAGGTCCTTCATATGTTACTGCTAATCCTTAACAACCACCCTCGTGGGATAACAGGCAGAACAGGCAGATGAACAAACTAAAGTGAAGAAAGTCTGACACTTGGTCAAGGTCGTGTAACTAGTACACAGTGAGGCTGCTGGTTCTTGGGACAGTGTGGCTCCAAACTCTGCCAGCACCTTTGCTGTTTTCTGTTGTACCTGGATTGTCTGGATCACATTATTCTAACCTATACAATATTGACTTAAAATTGTTTCATTTCAACCTTGCATGCCTAGTCTTTCCTATCAGACCAAACTCAGTATATTCTATTTCTCCTCTTTTTCTCCACCCTATCCAGCTAGCACAGGGATGAGCTCATGGTAATCTGCAAAAAAAAAAAAAAAAAAAAAAAAAAAAAAACAACTTTGAACAAGAACTAAGTCTTAGAGAGACTGAGTTTCTGGAATCAGGATTTGAGGAATCTTAAGTGGCACTGTTAAAAAATGGCAATTTCTTTCTTTGAACTCAACTTCTGGGCAGTTGGAAAACAGGCAGCAATTGTTGAGTCTTGGACATCCTTAGGTGTCAGTGGCACATGGATTCTACCGTTCTCCTGGTACTAGGTTCTCTGACTTTGGTATGTCTTCTACAGTCTCTTTCATGTGGCAAGAAGTTGGTGATAACCTTATCTCACAGCCAGGCCACCTGTCAGATAGACTCCAGAGAGCAAAGATAATGAAGTACACATAGCCGTCTGGCATGGATGGGCAATGCCAGGTCTCTGGATTTAGGTTCTGCCCTATTGTCGACTGAATGTCCCTGGAGAGGATGAACATTCTCCATGATTTGGTTTTCTCCTTCATACAGACAAAGGGAAGGGCCCTTGCTCTCTGGCTCATTAGCCATTCATGATGGCTAAAGTGAGGTACATGATGTGAAGTCCCCCGGAGCACAGACATTCTGGAAATACCAGGAATTCATATCCAGAGACACCGTGAGACAACAGGAACCAACTCGAACATCTGTCGTGCAAGGCTGCTGATGTAACCGAGAAAGCTGTTGTTGGTTTTACCTCATGGAGTCCCCTGGAGAGAGTACGGTCCTTAGGGTCCGTCCTGACAGCAGAGGCCATTTCTCACCCTCCTTGCCCTTCCTTTATATAAATATATGACTCTGATTCTGGAAGTGTCACAGAATCACCCACGTATAAGATGTCCAATTGAACTTGACAGGCCACCATGTATTCTAATCAGAGTCACCTGTGTCGTGGTGCTGATGGGGTGAGGTGCAGGCCCTGGGGGATGTCCAAGCTCTAAGGATGCTCTGAGGGGCCCAGAGCTCTCAGACCTGGCTTCTAAGACCTGAATAACCATGTCCTGTGCTCAAGGGCAGGAAACAGGTCTGTGTGTTTTGAATGTAATGCCGTGTGTCACACACAACCGGCGACAGATTGTGACACCACATTCCTGTGTTGTCGGTGACTTAATTGGTAAACAATGCCATGAGAATACCCATTCCCATAGAGTATTGGTGAACAAACATCTTAATCACATATATTTAGTTACCATATAGGCCAAAGCGACCTCATCAGAACCTAAAATCACATCCAGTAAATAATTTGTAAATGTTGCTAATCACCCGTGTTCCTATGCTTCAAAGCTATAAAAAGGAGCACACAAGTAAGCATTTAATACACAGTCATTGATGATCCTGATATTGAGCACAGGAATATATTTCAAGATCTCAAGATAAATAGCTACATATAACCAGAATAGGAAAGTTTTTTTTTTTTTTTAATTTTAATTCAAATGGCAGAAAAAAAAATGTGACTCATCAGAGTTTGGAAATCAACCTTGCCTTGCTTGTGTATTCTACACAGCTCCTCATATGCTTAAACCTTTAATTAGGTTTCCTTAAAATTGAAAAAAAAAAAAAATCCCTGAGAAGGAAGTGTACCAGCCAGAAAAAGTCACTTAAAGTCTGTCCCCTTTATGAGCCGCAGCAGGTTCCTGACCTCCCTCACTTTTTTGCTGTTTACTTTATTATTACGCTTTTGCAGCACCTTAGCTTAAGATGTCTGTGTAGACACCAGCAGTTGCCACCATTCCCACAGGTGCTATCGGGGCTTCTGAGATGCAGCAAACCATCAGTCTCTCTGTGAGTGCAGCACTGTCCCCGCACGGCCAGCTCTGTATCAACTGCGTTCCTGACCCAGAGAAGGACTAACTCTCACTACTGCTTTATAGGATCTTCTCTGCCAGGGTTACCATGAAGTAAGTATGCTTTTAGGAAATGAACAGGGCAATGGAGCCAAAGTCCATAATATTACCAACAAACAAAGCCATAGAGATACATTTGAAAGAAAAACAACAACAACCAGAACAGCAATGACCAGGTGCGTTTGCTCAACGGACTGTGTAAGTCAAACCTCCAGAGCTCCGGTGCTACCATCACCTCCTTTTGAGACACTGTCACCAGAGAGAGGAAATGTGCAGCCCTGCTGCTCTCCTGAGTATGTTTCAGTAAGCAGAAGAAATCAGATTGGCAGCCTGGGTTTCTCACGAGCTCTCCTGGCTTCACACCCGATCCAGGGGGCAGTCCCCATCCCAAACTTCCCCCTCATATTTTATCTCTAAGTGCTCTCACACTCACAGCTGACAAAAGTTCCTATTTCAGACTTTTCATCAGTATCTGTTCATAAAAATACATTACACACCACATAGCATTCTATTCACAGTCCCAAGGACTCGAATTTGCTCAAGAAAATATTTGCACAGAAGCAACACAGTGCACAATGAAAACGAACAGCTCGCTTTCTTTGGAGCAATTGCTCAGTGAGAAACAAACGACCCGCCACGTAGCTTACCCTCTCCACGCTGCGCCTTCTCAGAGATCCATAAGGTATTTTCAGTAAAAGTCTTTGAGATCTATTCGGAGCTACTGCAGCCTGAACCACCATGGTGTACAGCTGTGTGGGGTGTGTGTGTGTGTATGTGTGTGTGTGTGTGTGGTGTGTGTGTGTGTGGTGTGTGTGTGTGTGTGTGTTCCTTCCCAGCAAGGCAGAGATGGAAGCTTGCTCAAAACTCAGTTATGATCTCCTGGAAGTTTCCCAAATATCAAATAACTGAAAGAGTTTTTTTTCTTTCAACCATATGAGTCAAGATGTGGTTTGTCGGGAGGTGGGGGGATGGGGAAAGGAAAACAGCTCAAGTCCTGTAACTTCAGTTTGCATGAAGCAGCACCTCCAGCTTCCTTTGGGCGGTCCCTGTGTGCTGGCTCACTGAGACCGCTGTCCCAGGAGTGGGCAAGTGTGCTTCTGGGGAGAGTGATCCAGAAATGTCAACTTTGCTTCTCGGGGCTGCAGATGGTAACCAGGTCAGCTGTCTAATCAAAGCTCTATCAGACGTATTATTCATTCTACCACGTGACTCCCAAGCCCTGGGCTGTACAGTAGGTCACATGCTCATCTTAAAAGGACTATTTAGAATATCCCCATCTGGAGCAGAGATTAATGTGAAATCCTACATGCTGATTTCACTCTCTTCTAAATGCAGGAAAAATATTTGAGGACCAGTGACATCACATTGGAGGCAGGAGGGAGTCTTTTTTCAATCATAAATGATCTTTAGGAAACTGAGCGTCAGACATGTGTATCTGCTTTTTTTCCTTTCTGCTTTCTGATACATAGAAAATAATGTGTGCATATGATTAATTAGGTGAATGCAATCCACAAAGTGTGGGGGGAGGAAGGAAAAAATGTTTGCATTTTTGAATCCAACCAGATAGAACAGGCTTGCATTTGCCCCTCCTGGTGTGAATGTTGGTGTTTTAGAATGTGTATTTTTATGTGTGCCAGTAAAAGGAAAAAGTCATTTTACAGGGCTATCGAAGCTCAGATTCATCCATCACACTTGCTGATTTTTTTCTGATCATGGTGTAATCACAAATAAGATGTTGTTCTCAGACGAATGGTATAAATAGACCCAATTTTTAAATTTTCTGTAATATTTGTAGCTGAGACATTGCTCCCTGGCCTCTCCTGTCACTATGGCTCCCTGCATCTGCTTATTCCTACAGCAGAGAAAATTACTGTAAAGAAAAACAAGCCAAGAGCTTCCAGGATTGAAGGTATTTGGGCTTTCTTCTTTCCAGCGTATCCTCTGCACTTGGCAATTCCATGTCCTGGTTTTTTTGGAAGGGAATGGACACTTCCTCTGTAGTAATCCCATGCCTTTTGGTCAGTCTCATATTACTCATCTGCTTTGGGAACCAGCCTTTATTTACTCTCCACAGACCCTCACTTAGTTTATTGAAAATGATGGAAAAGAAAGTTCTGTTTATTCAAACAAATCTAATAGGAAATGAGGGGAGGGGTGCGAAGGGAAGAAGTGGAGTTCTGCGCTACTAGAAAATGAATCAGGAAAATGATGATCAGAGAAGCAGGGCGCTGGGGCTGGGTGCTGGGCGGCTGGAGTCGTGGGCATGGCCATCCCACGCAGACACACATTAAGAGGCAGTTAAAGAAACCATCAAGTTGATGTGGGAAATTCCAAATATACAACAATCGGGCTTTGTTCATAATTGGTTCCAGATGTGCAGTTGGAGAGTCAGTGAGGGGCTGGGAGCAGGGCAGGAGGGGAGGATGGAGCTCCCCTCACAGCCGCTCTCGGAGTGTCTTTGGCGAGGTGGTGTAGGTTACATCTCTTTACCCCCACTTTCTTGCTTCTTGCCTGCACCTCAAAGTGTTGAGGGTGGGGCGGGGTGCGGGAATAAGTCTGGGACAATGCCCAATTATGTAGCTAAATCAATAGGACCTCTTTCCTTTCTAAAAGTGCATGTTAAGTGTCGCAGTTCTGAACAAAGGATGGACACATTTTCGAAACACTTATCTGTCTAGAGCCATGGGATTGCACCCTTCCGGCTCAGTTTGTAGATCAGATCCACAGCGAAGTCACTGCCTCCTCTCTGACCTGGGCCAGGGCAAAGCCCCTGAGAGCTGAGTTTATTTATATTTAACTAAATGCAACTTCCTGTTTCCCAGGGGTATTAATGAGTGTTTCACAAAGAGCTTATGGCTTCATGGCATAGTTCAGATCATGAGGGACACTTTGATGAACTAAGTGCAAATAAAACAAAAACACATGCATTTGATTAAGGCTAAAATACATATAGAAGAGAATGTTAATGGAAACAAAAATAACCCTGGGCCACACTCCCACACATTTGAGTCCCACACATTCCACCCCTTCCCCAGGGGGGCTGGAGCAGGATCACTTTTCATTTCGGTGCTAGAGCCTCCTCCCGCTAACAGCCCCGAAGAGATTCTGTAGAGTAGGTGTCTGCCTTCTCAGAATGAATTGGAAGCTCTCAAAAGTCCTTCAACTTGTTCAAAAATATCTTTTTGATTATCTTACTGTGAAGTTTCAAGGTTCACACATTTAAAATTAATCATTGAATCTAAAGTATTTATGTCTGGTATTTATTTTCATTGTTACATCAACATTGTTACATTTTCATTGTTACATCAACAACTGTCCCCAGGAGGGGACAGGCGCACATGCTTTAGATGGTGTGACCACTTTTGGGGGAAGTGAGGGAATGGATGTTTATTGACCCAGTGATTGCCAGACAACGGAATGAGAGGTTGCCAAAGACAATCTCCATGAAAAAAAAAGCCAACCAACCAACCAAAAAAAACGAGTTTCAATTTCCATATTTTACAGATAAAGAAACTGGGGCTAATCCTAGCACCACAACTAAACGTGTCAGAGCTAAGAGTCAACTTGTATGATTTCAGGGCCCAATGTCATCTGCTCAACTCTCACCTGTCACAGAAGGTGGTTTACAGCACCTGCGGTTTACAGCAGTTTCAAAATCTAGAAAGGCCATCAACACACTGGACTCAACAGGGAAATGAAAAACTCTGTCTTAGAGGAGAAGAGAATGTCAGTATAGGAGTTCATGTTAGAGCAAGCAACTCTGGGGTCTCTGGTCTTTTATGCAGCAGCTTCCATGTCTTTTGGTGCTGGGCTGAACACTGGTGCAAGAAGAGCCTAACAGCCCACAGGAGTCAGGAAGGCCAGCAGGACCCAGGCCTGAGGGGTCCATCCAGGAGCTGAGTTACCAGAGCCCAGGGCCAGGGTCCCGTGATGGGGCTGGACCCTCCAAGATATCTACCCTGCAGGATGCAGCCAGGGCTGGGGCCATCATCCTAGCCCACAGGGTGGAAAACAGGGGCTTCTCTCTTGCCACTGCCTCCTATTCTCACCAGCTTCGGAAATAGCTATATAGGCAGGACAAAGGGCAGGTAAGGGATGGACAAGAGCATAAATGGGATCAGAGGAGGGAGAGGATGGATCGAAGGGCTGGAAATGGTGAATTCAGGGGTCACTAAGATAGTGGAGGGCAAGGAAAAATCATTTGTAACAGAGTTATTCTCAGAGAACAGGTCTCTCCTGGGATGGTGGATGACGGGGTTCCCTGAGCATCAGGGAACAGCCTAGTGGTCACTGGGGAAATGAGAAGATGCCCAGGGGCTGAGAGGCAATGAGCTGTGTAGAGATGGAGATGGAAAAACACACTTTAGGTCTACAGTCCTGCAAGCTGCAGCTTTTGATTGCCTCGCGGAGCAGAGCACTTAAGGCAGAAGGAGTTTTTGTTTGTTTATTTTGAACATTTCCTTCCAGTCTCAATGAAAACACTTACATTAAAACTCAGGAATGAAAATGCACAGGAATCAAAAGAGCTCTATTTTCAGAAAATCAATAGGTTCAACACGCCAAAGCGTGATGCATCAAATCAAATGCGTATTCTAGGTCATGAACAGCAGAGCGTGAAAGGGGTTACTAGGGATGATGGCCTGTCAGAGAGAAAGTATTTTGCAACACTTTGTTAGTAGCAGGATGCAAGCAGGAGAAAGAGCCACCTGGCCAAAATGTGTGTGTGTGTGTGTGTGTGTGTGTGTGTGTGTGTGTACATGTGTGTGCACAGGCCAGTGTGCATGTACACTTGCAAGAGGGGACTCCAAATGATGAGCATGTTACAAGCTGTGCCGAGGGAGAGGCATCCTGATGGGGCCCTGGGCCTGGCACTGAAATGCAACCCTCCAACCAGGTGAGCCTGAGTCTATCCAATGGTTCGCCCAGTGCAGGAAATGACCACGGATGGAGCTAATCTTCCAGTTCCCCTGGGAGTCCACAGCCATGATTATCTTACCTCTGAATTGGCACATGCTGACTCTAAGAAAGCTAATTTGCACTGCTTTACTCAGTTTATTGGACAGAAGACTAAAAGAGGGGGGTCCTAGGACAATGAGGTTTTGTGGGAGGGAGGTGCCAAAAGGAAGTTCCTTGGGCAGAGGCCCAGCTGAGGCAGAGGACAGTGAGTTGAGGGAAGGTGGAAAAAATGTGAACTTTCAGGTGTCTATTATTCTTTCTGTTGTAACATGTGAAATACTGCTCACATGAAGGAAACAACTCAAAGCTGACCTGCAGATAAGCCTCTCTGACGCCCATCCTGAGCCATTATTGCTTGTAACATCTTCCAGGATGTTTAAAGCCTCCTTCTCAGTATTGGGAGGTCTCAAGAAAAGAGGTGCAGCTGTCCCCACCTATTCGCACATTCCATTGAGGGCTAGCAGGATTTGCAAAGGGGATGTCCCAGGACCAGGTGAGGCATCCTAAGTTGGCCTCACCCTCCGGCTTTTAGAAGAGGAGGAGGAGGGGGAGAGAGGAAGGGTGGGAGACACTGATCCTTGCCTCTTGCCTATGAGAGGGGCTTCAAGGGCCCACTGTGGGGGACACAGTGAGCTGTTTAAAGGGAAGTGAGTGACAGTAGAGGAGTGATAGGAAAAGCGTCTGAGGAGGCACTTGCATCTTATGTCTTGCTTCAGGTCTGGATGGCCTAAGAGAGTCATCTTGGGAGCTCATCCTAGGTGCTCATGACAGCTCAGGCAAGCAAGGCCCCACTTAGAACTTTCATTCCACCTACATCAATCCTGGAAGTGCATGGGGCAGCTCAGTGAGTGGAGACAGAGGGAGACACGCAGGGCAGGGACACAGGGAAGGAGCCCACACACCCGCCTTCCCCTAAACCATCCATTGATGGCACCCAGCCATCGCCCCAAATCACCCATAGGCTGGGGATCCAGGACACTGGAGCTCTCTGTGAAGTTTGGGTTTTAAGTATTGTCAAGGCAAATAGGGAAGAGCATAAATGTAGGATGAAATCAAGCCAGACGCGCATGAGGAAGACATATTCCTAAAAAATCTGGAAAATTCCTAGAGTCTAAGGAGGGATTCTGGTGGATCCTATGTTTCTTCAACATTCCAGCA